TAGATAGATAGATAGATAGATAGATAGATAGATAGATAGATAGATAGATAGATAGTATTAGTATAGCGCAAATCCCCACTCAACAGCAAGCTATTTGCGCTTCACAATCTATACTATTACCCCAGCAGACCTGAGAGCATTCTGAAACAAACTCAACTTCCTGGGAAGCATACATATTGTATATACTTACTGACAGAACTTCTGAAACACCATTCATTTATTATTCTGCCGACAAACCATCTATTCCTTCCCCAAGTACAAAAGCTGAGATCTTAGTAAAACTTTCATTCTACAATCGGAATGCGGCGGGGAGGTTGGGGGGGGGGGGGTTACAAATAAAATCCATTTAAAACGTCATACTTCATGATATAAATGGCAGCTTGATAGTTAGTCATTTTTATTCTTAATATTCTCGTACTCCTAGGTCCTACATGGGATGTGCAAATTGCCGTCATCGATTGCCCTATGGCAGTATTTCCATCAGCTTATTCTGTGTTCGCGTTCATCTAACGAGTGTATACGTGCACATTCATGCTCATGTGTGTTGTGTTAATGTGGAGATATTGTAAAGTGCCAAGAGCCATGTTGTACCGAAGTGGAAGCTATAGAAATTGATAATAATAATTTCTTTCTTTTTTTTAGATTAACATGTATGCTGCTCATTTCTATTTCATAAAAGACTCCCAAGGCTCATTAGCCTACAGTGAGAGAGATATCAGAGTTGGAAATTACAGGTTTCTACAAACACGTAGGGCTTAATTATGTATGCATCATTAACAAAGATATGTAGCATTAAAATAAATGTCTGCCTGATGATGATGATGAATGATGAATGAAAAGGATGATGATGATGATGATGATGATGATGATGACGATGATGATGATGATGATGATGATGATGTTGATGGTGATGATGATGGTGATGATGATGCTAATGATGATGGTGATGATGATGATGATAGTGATGATAATCATCATCATCATCATCATCATCATCATCATCATCATCATCATCATCATCATCATCATCATCATCATCATCATCTATTATGATTATCATTATTTCCAGTACTATCATTCAACCTAGGGAGAGAAAGGAGGTAGGGAGAGGGGGGGATGAGAGGTAAGGAGAGAGAGAGAGAGCGGGAAAGAGGAAGAGAGAGAAAGCGAGCCCCAGAATCTGCACAAATGATCTCTCTCTCTCTCTCTCTCTCTCTCTCTCTCTCACTCACTCACTCCCTCACTCTTTCGATTTCTCTCTGTTTCTTTCTCTCACTCTCTCGCTCTCCCATTCTCCTTCTTTCTCACACGGATACACACCCCAACAACCACCCACAACACACCCAGCAACCACCCACAAAACACCCAGCAACCACCCATAACACACCACAGCAACCACCCACAACACACCCTGCATCCACCCACAACACACCACAACTACCACCCACAACACACCACAGCAACCACCCACAACACACCACAGCAACCACCCACAACACACCACAACAACCACCCACAACACACCACAGCAACCACCCACAACACACCACAGCAACCACCCACAACACACCCAGCAACCACCCACGACACAATACAGCAACCACCCACAACACATCCAGCGACCACCCACAACACACCCCAACAACCACCCACAACACACCCAGCAACCACCCACAACACACCCAGTGACCACCCACAACACACTCAGCAACCACCTACAACACATCTATCGACCACCCACAGCACACCCAGGAACAACACAAGCCTACCTGTGGTGAGGTGTCGGTGGCCTAGTGGTTAGGCTACCGGACTCGTAATCGTGAAGTTGCGTGTTCGGGGGTTCGAGCGTCGGACCTAACGTTGTGTCCTTGGGAAAGGCACTTAACATGAATTTTCCCTACTTCACCGTGGGGAAAATTAGTACCTCAATTTGTTAGTGTTTGAGCGCTTAATCAGCAGCTTTCACTGTATGTTTCCTGGGTAGCTGAGAATGTTTCTGAGTGTTCTATGGTCTGCTGGGGTAATACAAAACTCATCATCTAGCGCCAAATCTGCCACAGATATCGGCAATAATGGTTCGACATTCATTCCTTTGCTCGGATACTTTTTAAAAAAAGCTACGTTTCACTGATCTTTCTAAGTTACCCATTTATTTAGTTTCCCTAAACAATGCACTTGTACTAAATATCATAGGATAGACGTTTTGCCCGTGAAAGTGCCCAACTTCCGAAAACGTCGACAACAATCTCACCACGGACTCCACAAGGAACACACAGGCACACGGCGATAATAATAATTGCAACATGCATATTAGCGAGATGATGAAATTAATAATAATAATAATAA